TATATATATAATTTTAACTTTATCTTTGTTAGTGTGTAACAAAGATGAAGTTAAATATAACCTAGGTATCCCCATGTTACGGCCCTACTGGAACACAACCGGGTTCTTCTCTGATGTTAGTCGAGTTTGGGAATCCGGCCCCAAGTTAGTAGAGGCTTTCAAGGGGTGCGTTCCGTAACGCAAGTTAAACTAAAGGGGGGAGGGATACAAATGTTCCAATTTATATATATATATATTTCCACCACCATGAATAAATAAATAACAGTCACACGCGGGGATTATAACTACACAATTATGTACAGGTTCGTCTTCCTCCGAAGACACTGGATGCTCGACGGTGCTCACTCTGGGTAGCCCTGGTTCCTTCTTCCGTGGCCCACGATGAATCCACTATGATTCTATGACGAATCTACCCTGGCCACAGGCCAGCCAAATCACAGTCCCACTGGGTGCTTCGTCGTGGAGGCCTTCAACCACAATCCAGCCCGTAGCTGGCAGGTACTAATCAGCTCCGCTGTGTAGGCCACTCCACGACCGATACTAGGGTTGTGAGCCCTAGGCAGAAGCCTCGTGTGACCCGCTGATCACTCTCCTCACTAAGCACCACAGTGGCTAGTCTCTTCCACCAGCCAGCCCCGGATAAGGCGATTCCCAACACTGCCACGCCACAGGCAGGCTAATACTGTCAACAGAGTTCGTCCAGGGGTGACTCACAGCTTCTTCAAAGCAGACTGGTGAAGAGACCTTGGCTGCCTTGGGTAGACTCATCCATCATCCAATACAGCAGTCCCAGGTAGACTCTGCAATCAGATACGTCATTAATACTGGAACGCTCTAGGGAACCTCACTTACAGGCTTAGACACAAACGTCCACCTCTTCATTCCATAGATGGGATTGCCGTCTAAGCGCCACCTCACCAGAGGTCAGCAGCGGCTATGTTATGAGGTGATTAAGACGGGAATCCAGCAGCTGTGGCCGGTATATCCCGTCCTCACTAGATGGCGTCGTCCATTTGGAGGGGGTTTCGGGAGCGGACTCACAGATGGCGTTGTTGTCACTGCTCCGTGCTCCGACGGGACTCGGGTCCCTAACACCCCATCTTTGCTGTCAAAACTATATTGGTCCAAACACTCAGGTATGATAGGAGAGAAATTACTGACTCCCAACGACCTGAAAACACCAGTATAAGAAGCTATGATTTGTTCAGATCTGAAACCTGTATCTTTGGGCAGCAGGAAACGTCCACCAGACTGTACGACACAGTGGTTGCCAGGATCAGGTTCGGTTACCGTTACCTATGGCAGGTGGCTACCGTTACCTGTGGCAGGTGGCTACCGTTACCTGGGGCAGGTGGCTACCGTTACCTGGGGCAGGTGGCTACCGTTACCTGTGGCAGGTGGCTACCGTTACCTGTGGCAGGTGGTTACAGGTGACGGATCTCCCAATCCTGAGCACTCCAGGTGCAAACTCTGTGAGTAGGAACTGCGGCATGATCTCCCGCACTACATCACCGAATGCCCAGGTATTAGACCATTCAGACCAGTTGGCATGAGTTACCTGGTATACACCAGAACACAGCTGGACCGGGAGGTATACAGCAGGATCTGGTGGAAAATAGCGGGACTTCGGGGGTATACAACAGGACATTGTTGGATATAGTGCATATAGGAGCACCTGGTACCATACAAGAGGTGTATACAGGAGCACCTGGTACCATACAAGAGGTGTATACAGGAGCACCTGGTACCATACAAGAGGTGTATACAGGAGCACCTGGTACCATACAAGAGGTGTATACAGGAGCACCTGGTACCATACAAGAGGTGTATACAGGAGCACCTGGTACCATACAAGAGGTGTATACAGGAGCACCTGGTACCATACAAGAGGTGTATACAGGAGCACCTGGTACCATACAAGAGGTGTATACAGGAGCACCTGGTACCATACAAGAGGTGTATACAGGAGCACCTGATACCATACAAGAGGTGTATACAGGAGCACCTGGTACCATACAAGAGGTGTATACAGGAGCACCTGGTACCATACAAGAGGTGTATACAGGAGCACCTGGTACCATACAAAAGATGTATACAGGAGCACCTGATACCATACAAGAGGTGTATACAGGAGCACCTGATACCATACAAAAGATGTATACAGGAGCACCTGATACCATACAAGAGGTGTATACAGGAGCACCTGGTACCATACAAGAGGTGTATACAGGAGCACCTGGTACCATACAAGAGGTGTATACAGGAGCACCTGGTACCATACAAGAGGTGTATACAGGAGCACCTGGTACCATACAAGAGGTGAATACAGGAGCACCTGGTACCATACAAGAGGTGTATACAGGAGCACCTGGTACCATACAAGAGGTGTATACAGGAGCACCTGGTACCATACAAGAGGTGTATACAGGAGGACCTGGTACCATACAAGAGGTGTATACAAGAGCACCTGGTACCATACAAGAGGTGTATACAGGAGGACCTGGTACCATACAAGAGGTGTATACAGGAGCACCTGGTACCATACAAGAGGTGTATACAAGAGGACCTGGTACCATACAAGAGGTGTATACAGGAGCACCTGGTACCATACAAGAGGTGTATACAGGAGGACCTGGTACCATACAAGAGGTGTATACAGGAGCACCTGGTACCATACAAGAGGTGTATACAGGAGGACCTGGTACCATACAAGAGGTGTATACAGGAGCACCTGGTACCATACAAGAGGTGAATACAGGAGGACCTGGTACCATACAAGAGGTGTATACAGGAAGATCTCACTAACATTCGCAGTGTTAGCTGCGGGGTTATCTTTATGTTATCTTGAGATGATTTCGGGGCTTAGCGTCCCTGCGGCCCGGTCCTCGACCAGGCCTCCTTTTTGTTACACATCCCCAGGAAGCAGCCCGTAGCAGCTCTCTAACTCCCAGGTACCTATTTACTGCTAGGTGAACAAGAGCATCAGGGTGAATAGAACTATGCCCATTTGTTTCCGCCTCCATCAGGGGATCGAACTCGGAACCTCAGGACTACGAATCCGTAGCGCTGTCCACCCAGCCGTCAGGGCTCTCACTATGGTATTCTTGGGGGTTGCCAAGAAATATTGACCTGAACTTTCCGTTACATGATATTGATCTTGTATAACACATGTTGTAGTTTTCATTAATTTTATTATAATATAATCAACAATATTTTTTTAATTACCTCCGAGAAGTTTTGTAATTAATTCTCGGTAAAATAATAATTTTTGTACCACGCGCAAATTACCAGCCTAAAGTGATTCCTGGCGGGAATATCCTTTAATGAGAGGCTTTCCTTCCCTGCCAGGCCGGGCCACCTGCTTTTAAAACACTTACGTGTAATCTTATTAACTACCAGAGTATATCCTTACTAAGACTCTTGCTGCATAGTATACCAGGCTATATCCTAGATGGTGAAGGGTAAGGGAGGTGGTGAAGGGTAGGGAAGGTGGTGAAGGGTAGGGAAGGTGGTGAAGGGTAAGGGAGGTGGTGAAGGGTAGGGAAGGTGGTGAAGGGTAGGGAAGGTGGTGAAGGGTAAGGGAGGTGGTGAAGGGTAGGGAAGGTGGTGAAGGGTAGGGAAGGTGGTGAAGGGTAGGGAAGGTGGTGAAGGGTAGGGAAGGTGGTGAAGGGTAGGGAAGGTGGTGAAGAGTAGGGAAGGTGGTGAAGGGTAGGGAAGGTGGTGAAGAGTAGGGAAGGTGGTGAAGAGTAGGGAAGGTGGTGAAGGGTAAGGGAGGTGGTGAAGGGTAAGGGAGGTGGTGAAGGGTAGGGAAGGTAGTGAAGGGTAGGGAAGGTAGTGAAGGGTAGGGAAGGTGGTGAAGGGTAGGGAAGGTGGTGAAGAGTAGGGAAGGTGGTGAAGGGTAGGGAAGGTGGTGAAGGGTAAGGAAGGTGGTGAAGGGTAGGGAAGGTGGTGAAGGGAAGGGAAGGTGGTGAAGGGTAGGGAAGGTGGTGAAGAGTAGGGAAGGTGGTGAAGGGTAGGGAAGGTGGTGAAGAGTAGGGAAGGTGGTGAAGAGTAGGGAAGGTGGTGAAGGGTAAGGGAGGTGGTGAAGGGTAGGGAAGGTGGTGAAGGGTAGGGAAGGTGGTGAAGGGTAGGGAAGGTGGTGAAGGGTAGGGAAGGTGGTGAAGGGTAGGGAAGGTGGTGAAGGGTAAGGGAGGTGGTGAAGGGTAGGGAAGGTGGTGAAGGGTAGGGAAGGTGGTGAAGGGTAGGGAAGGTGGTGAAGGGTAGGGAAGGTGGTGAAGGGTAGGGAAGGTGGTGAAGGGTAGGGAAGGTGGTGAAGGGTAGGGAAGGTGGTGAAGGGTAGGGAATGTGGTGAAGGGTAGGGAATGTGGTGAAGGGTAGGGAAGGTGGTGAAGGGTAGGGAAGGTGGTGAAGGGTAGGGAAGGTGGTGAAGGGTAGGGAAGGTGGTGAAGGGTAGGGAAGGTGGTGAAGGGTAGGGAAGATGGTGAAGGGTAGGGAAGGTAGTGAAGGGTAGGGAAGATGGTGACGGCGAGACAAGATGGGGGTATCTACCGGCGCCCGGGTAGTGATGATAGTTAATAGAGATGAAGACAGTATTTAGTGAAGATACAGCAGTGATGGTCACATTTAGTGAAGATACAGTAGTCATGGTCACATTTAGTGAAGATACAGCAGTGATGGTCACATTTAGTGAAGATACAGTAGTCATGGTCACATTTAGTGAAGATACAGTAGTCATGGTCACATTTAGTGAAGATACAGCAGTGATGGTCACATTTAGTGAAGATACAGTAGTCATGGTCACATTTAGTGAAGATACAGTAGTCATGGTCACATTTAGTGAAGATACAGTAGTCATGGTCACATTTAGTGAAACTGACTGTAGTAAATTATTAGTGATGTAGATAGTGAGTAATGAAGATGCGGCAGCCGTCACCCGAACAACGACGGGTAGAAGTTCGTAAATAAAATCGAAAATAAGTTCGAAAGTAAAACGCACAAAATATGATGCAAATTTATTAAAATGTAATACTAAGACATACAATCAAATAACTTTAAACTAATGTATATATTTAATATATATTTCTGGTAGAAATATTTTTGCCATTTCTGAATTTTCGAACATGTAATTAGCAGCAGTTATGTACTGAATCTTGGATATCATGGATGCGTCCAAATACAAAACTCTCGCATGAGTATGTTATAAAATGGTAATCAACAATGACATTCAAAATGTAAACAAAAGTTTACCTATCTTAACATGTATGACCAAAGACACACTAACTAATCAACACCTGTCAACATGACACATAATATATCAAATTTAGGACAATTTTGACAAGGACATTAAGGCCCAGCTTGACAGATGCTATTGGCAGCCTATTCGTTAATGAAACACTAGGCTGTCTACGGTTATGTTAAATATTCACTAATTACCAACAACCAGATGTACATAATTTATAGTAATTATCAATAACCAAATATACATACTTTCCAGTAATTATCAACAGCCAAATGTACATAATTACTCATAAATTTCTAGACTGTCTGCTGCATGACGCAATGTTCATAGTTTCATGTCCAGAGGAGAATCCTGTCCCGTTACTCAATGAATATCTCGATGCAGATTATAGGACCACCATCATCTCTGTATGGCTGGCTCTAGCACCTATTGCGACAGATGCCACTGCTTCCAAAACCGCCTCCGGCAGATTGACTTCCAAAACCACCTCCAAAACCGCCTCCATAACCACCTCCATAACCACCTCCATAGCCACCTCCAGCAGTTGAACCTCCAAAAGCACCAGCTACAGCTCCACCTCCATGACTACCGCTTAAACCGGTTCCTCTATGGCCACCTACTATACCAACTTTAAGACCACTTCCTTTGCGGTCAGTTCCGACGACAGCGAGAGCTCCTCCGCGGGCAGTTCCCAGAGCAAGGCCGCCGAAGCCTCCTCCAGCGCTTGCCACAACAGCCCCGCCGACGCCATGGTCTCGACCACTGTTGAAGCGCCGACCTGTGTCGACGTCCACACCGACTACCTCTGTAATATGGCTGCCGGAGCCGAGGGGATACGCGTCTGCAACAGTGAGGGCTGCAGCCACGGAGGCCACCAGGAGCACCACCGTCGGGATCTTGGCGACCTGCAACACCAGGAGGAGACAATTCTCACACAAGCCTAAACCACATTTTAATAATAATTTTAAACCATGTTATTGATATAATTCCAAACGGATTACCAGCCAATGTTAGAGAAGGTTATAAAGTGTTGAGCAGCATGAAGCAGCATGGACGAGAGTCCAACTTACCATTTTGGTGTGAGTATGAGAAGTGTGTGAAGGCGCCGCCTGCGTCCGCCATTATATACTGGCGCAGCGAGCGGGTTTCCAGAAAAACCGAGTGCAGCGTCATGGGTGACAATATTTGACATGTGTGGGACCACTGTGGGAGAGCCTCGCCAGGGGCCACACCAGGACACACGCGCAGCACTGTGGGAGAGCCTCGCATGGGCCACCAGTTCAGTGGGACCACTGTGGGAGAGCCTCACATGGTCCACCAGTTCAGTGGGACCACTGTGGGAGAGCCTCGCATGGTCCTACTGCTTACATCCTATTTTAATGGTAGTTAATTGCTACTTATGCAATTACCTGTGCAAGTAGCAATGGGACTACTTATTCTCATCCATTTATTGAGATCTAATTGTAATTATTATTTCTAAGGATAACTTTACTAGGAAGATGATTCTAAGTGAATTAAAATTAGATCTTAATAAATGGATGAATGTAAGCAATCCCATTAGCCACGCTCCTTTGGGTATCGAGAAGGGTGCGAGGGATAACATCCAGATGAACACCTCTATTAACAACTCCAGTGCTCATAGTAGCAGGATAACAGAAAGGACACCTGACCATGATAGCATAGAAGACATCCCTTCAGGAACATCGGCAGCGGGAGATAAACGTGATCTGGTCAGGCGGTCAAGAAGGATAAAAGAGGATTGGACCCAGGGTAGCACAGAATGGACCCAGGGTAGTACAGATTGGACCCAGGGTAGCACAGATTGGACCCAGGGTAGCACAGATAGGACTCAGGGTAGCACAGATTGGACCCAGGGTAGCACAGATTGGACCCAGGGTAGCACAGATTGGACCCAGGGTAGCACAGAATGGACCCGGGGTAGCACAGAATGGACCCAGGGTAGCACAGATTGGACCCAGGGCAGCACAGATTGGACCCAGGGTAGCACAGATTGGACCCAGGGTAGCACAGATTGGACCCAGGGTAGCACAGATTGGACCCAGGGTAGCACAGATTGGACCCAGGGTAGCACAGATTGGGCCCAGGGTAGCACAGAATGGACCCAGGGTAGCACAGATTGGACCCAGGGTAGCACAGATTGGACCCGGGGTAGCACAGAATGGACCCAGGGTAGCACAGATTGGACCCAGGGTAGCACAGATTGGACCCAGGGTAGCACAGACTGGGCCCAGGGTAGCACAGATTGGACCCAGGGTAGCACAGTTTGGACCCAGGGTAGCACAGATTGGACCCAGGGTAGCACGGAATGGACCCAGGGTAGCACAGATTGGACCCAGGGTAGCACAGATTGGACCCAGGGTAGCACAGAATGGACCCAGGGTAGCACAGATTGGACCCAGGGTAGCACAGAATGGACCCAGGGTAGCACAGATTGGACCCAGGGTAGCACAGATTGGACCCAGGGTAGCACAGATTGGGCCCAGGGTAGCACAGAATGGACCCAGGGTAGCACAGATTGGACCCAGGGTAGCACAGATTGGACCCAGGGTAGCACAGAATGGACCCAGGGTAGCACAGATTGGACCCAGGGTAGCACAGATTGGACCCAGGGTAGCACAGAATGGACCCAGGGTAGCACAGATTGGACCCAGGGTAGCACAGATTGGACCAAGGGTAGCACAGATTGGACCCAGGGTAGCACAGATTGGACCAAGGGTAGCACAGATTGGACCCAGGGTAGCACAGATTGGACCCGGGGTAGCACAGATTGGACCCAGGGTAGTACAGATTGGACCCAGAGTAGCACAGATTGGACCCAGGGTAGCACAGATTGGACCCGGGGTAGCACAGATTGGACCCAGGGTAGCACAGATTGGACCCAGGGTAGTACAGATTGGACCCAGGGTAGCACAGATTGGACCCAGGGTAGCACAGATTGGACCCAGGGTAGCACAGATTGGACCCAGGGTAGCACAGATTGGACCCAGGGTAGTACAGATTGAACCCAGGGTAGTACAGATTGGACCCAGGGTAGCACAGATTGGACCCAGGGTAGTACAGATTGAACCCAGGGTAGTACAGATTGGACCCAGGGCAGCACAGATTGGACCCAGGGTAGGGTACAGATTGGAACCCAGGGTAGCACAGATAGGACAGCACAGATTGGACCCAGGGTAGGACCCAGGGTAGCACAGATTGGACCCAGGGTAGCACAGATTGGACCCAGGGTAGCACAGATTGGACCCAGGGTAGCACAGATTGGACCCAGGGTAGCACAGATTGGACCCAGGGTAGCACAGATTGGACCCAGGGTAGCACAGATTGGACCCAGGGTAGCACAGATTGGACCCAGGGTAGCACAGATTGGACCCAGGGTAGCACAGATGGACCCAGGGTAGGACCCAGGGTAGCACAGATTGGACCCAGGGTAGCACAGATTGGGCCCAGGGTAGCACAGAATGGACCCAGGGTAGCACAGATTGGACCCAGGGTAGCACAGATTGGACCCAGGGTAGCACAGAATGGACCCAGGGTAGCACAGATTGGACCCAGGGTAGCACAGAATGGACCCAGGGTAGCACAGATTGGACCCAGGGTAGCACAGATTGGACCCAGGGTAGCACAGAATGGACCCAGGGTAGCACAGATTGGACCCAGGGTAGCACAGATTGGACCCAGGGTAGCACAGATTGGACCCAGGGTAGGATTGGACCCAGGGTAGCAGATTGGACCAAGATAGCACAGATTGGACCCACCAAGGGTAGCACAGATTGGACCCAGGGTAGCACAGATTGGACCCGGGGTAGCACAGATTGGACCCAGGGTAGTACAGATTGGACCCAGAGTAGCACAGATTGGACCCGGGGTAGATTGGACCCAGGGTAGCACAGATTGGACCCAGGGTAGCACAGATTGGACCCAGGGTAGCACAGATTGGACCCAGGGTAGCACAGATTGGACCCAGGGTAGCACAGATTGGACCCAGGGTAGCACAGACCCAGGGTAGCACAGATTGGACCCAGGGTAGCACAGATTGGACCCAGGGTAGCACAGATTGGACCCAGGGTAGCACAGATTGGACCCAGGGTAGCACAGATTGGACCCAGGGTAGCACAGATTGGACCCAGGGTAGCACAGATTGGACCCAGGGTAGCACAGATTGGACCCAGGGTAGCACAGATTGGACCCAGGGTAGCACAGATTGGACCCAGGGTGGATTGGACCCAGGGTAGCACAGATTGGACCCAGGGTAGCACAGATTGGACCCAGGGTAGCACAGATTGGACCCAGGGTAGCACAGATTGGACCCAGGGTAGCACAGATTGGACCCAGGGTAGCACAGATTGGACCCAGGGTAGCACAGATTGGACCCAGGGTAGCACCCAGAGCACAGATTGGACCCAGGGTAGCACAGATTGGACCCAGGGTAGCACAGATTGGACCCAGGGTAGCACAGATTGGACCCAGGGTAGCACAGATTGGACCCAGGGTAGCACAGATTGGACCCAGGGTAGCACAGATTGGACCCAGGGTAGCACAGATTGGACCCAGCACAGATTGGACCCAGGGTAGCACAGATTGGACCCAGGGTAGCACAGATTGGACCCAGGGTAGCACAGATTGGACCCAGGGTAGCACAGATTGGACCCAGGGTAGCACAGATTGGACCCAGGGTAGCACAGATTGGACCCAGGGTAGCACAGATTGGACCCAGGGTAGCACAGATTGGACCCAGGGTAGCACAGATTGGACCCAGGGTAGCACAGATTGGACCCAGGGTAGCACAGATTGGACCCAGGGTAGCACAGATTGGACCCAGGGTAGCACAGATTGGACCCAGGGTAGCACAGATTGGACCCAGGGTAGCACAGATTGGACCCAGGGTAGCACAGATTGGACCCAGGGTAGCAGATTGGACCCAGGGTAGATTGGACCCAGGGTAGCACAGATTGGACCCAGGGTAGCACAGATTGGACCCAGGGTAGCACAGATTGGACACAGACAGATTGGACCCAGGGTAGCACAGATTGGACCCAGGGTAGCACAGATTGGACCCAGGGTAGCACAGATTGGACCCAGGGTAGCACAGATTGGACCCAGGGTAGCACAGATTGGACCCAGGGTAGCACAGATTGGACCCAGGGTAGCACAGATTGGACCCAGGGTAGCACAGATTGGACCCAGGGTAGCACAGATTGGACCCAGGGTAGCACAGATTGGACCCAGGGTAGCACAGATTGGACCCAGGGTAGCACAGATTGGACCCAGGGTAGCACAGATTGGACCCAGGGTAGCACAGATTGGACCCAGGGTAGCACAGATTGGACCCAGGGTAGCACAGATTGGACCCAGGGTAGCACAGATTGGACCCAGGGTAGCACAGATTGGACCCAGGGTAGCACAGATTGGACCCAGGGTAGCACAGATTGGACCCAGGGTAGCACAGATTGGACCCAGGGTAGCACAGATTGGACCCAGGGTAGCACAGATTGGACCCAGGGTAGCACAGATTGGACCCAGGGTAGCACAGATTGGACCCAGGGTAGCACAGATTGGACCCAGGGTAGCACAGATTGGACCCAGGGTAGCACAGATTGGACAGGGTATTGGACCCAGGGTAGCACAGATTGGACCCAGGGTAGCACAGATTGGACCCAGGGTAGCACAGATTGGACCCAGGGTAGCACAGATTGGACCCAGGGTAGCACAGATTGGACCCAGGGTAGCACAGATTGGACCCAGGGTAGCACAGATTGGACCCAGGGTAGCACAGATTGGACCCAGGGTAGCACAGATTGGACCCAGGGCAGCACAGATTGGACCCGGGGTAGCACAGATTGGACCCAGGGTAGCACAGATTGGACCCAGGGTAGCACAGATTGGACCCAGGGTAGCACAGATTGGACCCGGGGTAGCACAGATTGGACCCAGGGTAGCACAGATTGGACCCAGGGTAGCACAGATTGGACCCAGGGTAGCACAGATTGGACCCAGGGTAGCACAGATTGGACCCAGGGTAGCACAGATTGGACCCAGGGTAGCACAGATTGGACCCAGGGTAGC